ATCAATGAAGCCTCTAATCAGAATCCACTGGGAAGTGTCAATTCACTTGAAGTGAAGGTCCCTCATAGTTCTTCTGTGGGCTTGCTTACAGATACAAACACAAGTTCTCTCTCTTCTCATGAAAATGAAACTTCAAGAACTAATGTTAGCTCTTCAAATACATCATATAGCAGTCGAACTGAGAAGGTTCTTAGCAATTTTCTGCAGAGTCCACTTTTGAAGGATGAAGGCGGTACAGCAAATGAGCTGGTATGTGAAGATGAAACACATTTCTTATAACATTATACACTAAGCGTAGTTTTGTGAGGTCTCTTTATTTTGTTGTATATTGTGCTAAGGATGAGATTGATAATTGTTAATAGAAATAGGAGGTTGCTAACATGTATTAGTTCTAATTCCTCTACTTCGGTATTTGCAGTCGGAGCGTTTGAGATCAGAGAACAACCTTCTTCATATTGTAAGTTTTCACTCTGACTATTTATTTAGAAGCTAACTCTTTTCCTTTTCCTTTTCCTTTTTTAAACTTAAAATAGTATTGCAAGTAGATTGTAATATGAGGAAGACTGATTAGACCACTTATTAACGATGTCCTTAATAGAATATTGACTTACATTGCTAAAACCTAGTAAACGGTTCTCTTTCTCTCCTCTCCCTCGCAGATGGATTTGTTTACAACGTATTAACTCAGTTTATCACTGCTTTTGTTTCTTTTCCTGAATAAATTTATCTATTCAAGGTTCAATTGTTAAACTGCTGAAATGGCTGTGAAAAAGTTTTATCTGTTGATTTATGTTTATATGGCGTGTGAAGTACTGAAAATACGTTTGGTGCATGATAGGTGTTGAAACACCAGCAAGTTATTGACGAGCTCATGCAGGAAAATGAAAAGCTTCGCCAGATACTAGTGAAAGACTTGAAAGTCTCACCCAGTAAACTCCATACCAGCTACTCTAGTGGAAGTAAGTTTCCATGTACTGAATGTTTTGAGTGCCGTAGAAAACAAAGGAGACGATGAATGTAATTTCTTTTTCTTTTTCTTGTTTTGATAAGATGAATGAAAGGAATATCTTATGGTCTTTTTCTACATCACCCAAGCAATGAAACCGAAAAGCTGACCTTCTATTTTTGCCTTTGCGGATTTGCAACTGATTTTTGATTGTTGTATGAAAGCTTTTTGGCACATGCAAATAAGTTGCATCTGGATTAAAGCTTAAAGCCACAAAAGTGTATGTAGGATGTTAGGAAGAGAAAGCTACTCTTACTTAGTGCAGTCTACTACTTTCAGGTTTCCGGCGCCCATTTCCCTTTCTTTCTACATATGCATATGCCCGCGATGCACATATGTTTATTTGTTTCGATAATTCATTTTAACTTTAGCCCCAGAATGCTGGAAAACAGAAAGAAAGTCAGGTGCTTTCTCTTTACTTAGATTATGGCTGATATTTGGAGATCTAATGTTAGACTGTAGTCAACCTTGGCTTTTGAACTAGTAATTGCTTGGAAATTTACATGAAAGTCAAGTTCCAAAGAAGTACTATTCTTGTATTTCTTATTTCTAGATCTTTGTTATTACACGTAGTGTCTTTGTTTTTTTCTTGTTGTTAGTGTTGGTTGCTCCCTGTTTACTGTTTCTTAGGCCGAGGGTCTATCGGAAACAACCTCTCAATCTTCACAAGATAGGGGTAAGGTCTGCGTACACTAGGGGTGGCATGTGGGCCGGTTTGAGCCCTAAACGGGCCAAGTGGGCCGGTCTAAACGGTCCCGGTCCCGGGCCGGTCCATGAATAAATGGGCCTACTGGTTCCGGGTTAAACGGTCATTTTGTAGGAACCGGTCCGTAACCGGGCCCACGTACTCATGGTCCCGGGCTAAATGGGCCGGGCCCGCGGGCTAAGGGCTAAGTGGGCCCAACGGCTAGATATTGTTTTTTTTAAAAAAAAAATAAATAGAAATTAGGGACAAAAAGATGTTAAAAAAAAAAATATGTAAGGCAATGCCTTGTAAATTTATTATAGAATTGTGACCTAAATTTTTTAATTCAAATTTAAAGACAAAAATATTGTGAAGAGATATTCAAAGCAATGCCTTGTAATTTTATTATAGCATTAAAAAAACATGGCAATTTCTTTCCTAGTCTTCCTCCCCTCTATGGGATGAGCACTGCAAGGTGCTAATACACCATTGAGAAGAAAAAGAAACTAATCAAGATGTGCCGAAATACAAGTTACATAATACATACTAATTTTTGTTCATACAAGTTACATGGTATCTCTTACAAACTTCATAAATCCTTCAAGGCCCGGAGGAATTTACCTTGGTGGTGGCGGAAAAGTAGCTTGGTCATCGCCGTTTCCATTGTCGGGCGAAGCAGCATCCTCCGCAAGTTCAGCTAGCATTTCTTCGTAAGCTTCGTCTTCCTCTGGTTGTGATTCGCCACTCTTGGATTTTCCCTTATTCTTATGTTTACCAAAAATATTTTTTAAGGAAGCCATCTTAATTAATCAAGTAATAGCAAATAAATAAAACAAACAAAACTATAATATTAAACTTAAGAGTTGGAACGAGTTTACCGAATTGACGAACAACTTGTTGAAAATTGATTATCGTTGAATACTTGAAGACTTAATTAACTTCACAATTTTTTCACAAATTGTAACAACCTCAATATTTTTTTTACTATTTTTTGGAATACAGTAAGCAATAGTAGCAAGTATAGAAGAAAATTAGAGAGAGATTGTGATAGATTGATATTGATTTTGTAAGAAATAAAAGAATGAGGGGGTATTTATAGTTGAAAATAGGGAAAAAGTGTAATTATAAAAAGTTTTGGGTAAAAATCGACCCCTCGAAGACCCTCTATCTGTGTCAAAATCATCTTTTGATTTTTCTTTATTCTNTAAATAGCCAACTGCTATTTTTTAAAGCCCAACTTTTGTTTTTTTAAATATGCTAACGACTATTTTTACTTTAAAAAAAAAATTACCGTGGGGCCTGTTTGGCCCGCCAAGGTCCCGGTCCCTTGGCGGGCCAAATGGTCCCGGTCCTAACGGTTCAAAGGCAAGAACCAGCCCACGAGACAGGCCCAAGCCCACCTCTAGCGGTCCTACCGGTCCCGGCCCACTCGCCCACTTGGCCCGCGGTCCCGGACCGGCCTACTTGCCACCCCTTAGTGTACACACTATCCTCCCCAGACCCCACTTGTGAGATTACACTGGGTTTGTTGTTTGAAGTTCCAAAGAAGTAGAAATAGCGCTGAAAAGACATGTAAGAACAGTGTCTTTAATTAAGCTGAGAGAAAATGTTACACGATAGCTGTAACAAATAAAAGTTGATAAATGACACCTCATTGTTCCTTAAACTCACATACATGAATGATCCTCAAGAATCAAGGACAAAGTGAAACAACAATAATGAAAAACAACACTGAAAAATATATTAAAATGCAATAAAGAATACACAAACAGGTAAATTATTTTCAATCTACAGCAAATGTGAAAGATAATGAGCATCAAGTTAGAAGAAGAGTGCTGCAGTCCCAATAAGTGCTACCATGGCCATGCTAATTCCATGCACAAAAGCACTTGATGGCAACACAGCATCAGTAGGTGCAGGAGCCGGTGATGACACAGGCCCCGGTCCCATGGGTGCAGGAGGAGAGGCAGGCATGAGGGGTGCCATATCAGGTGCACCTGGGGCTGGTGATGAGCTAACTGATGGACCAGGACTCATTGTTGGAGGAAATGCCACTGGTGCTGGTGGTGACATAAAAGGTGGCATGGCGATTGTCGGTGGGGCTGCCATGCTAGAAGGTGGCATTGTGGGTTCTTGTGCAGCAGAAAGAGCTAGAAATGTAAAGGAAAGGGAGAGCACTAACATGACACACGATGTAGCCATGACTCTCTTGTGAAAAAAATTTGACTTGTTTCACAGGAAACACAAGAGAGGATTCTTGAATAGAATGTACTAAGGTTTTAGAGGAAGTTTGTGTTCTGAGGTATTTGTTTAAGGTGGTGTGTGGATATATAGAGAGGACAGTCTACTCAAAACTTTGCAAAGTTTGTGGTTGAGCACTCCTTTGTCTGTTGTAATGCATACTACTTTGGTCATTTTTATCAAAATGGAATTGATTTTGACATAAACGTGGTGGCACATTAACAAGTAAGAAGTATATAATATATTTATGAAAAGACGCCTTTTAAGGTCCATAACCCGTTCATCCAATCAAATTAAGATTATAATAGGCCTCATTTGGATTATACAAGCTACAATTAGAAAAGTTTTTCCAAATTGAAAACTGACTCTCTTTGTCTTAAAAATCACGTTGTTCGCCATCCTGATCAGAATACTTTCCCCCCGACTCAAAAAACAAGTTAAAGGAAGTTTTTTCTTTGAAAACTAGAAACAAGTATTTTTACAACAACAGCAACAACGATCCAGTATAATCCCACAAGTGGGGTCTGGGTAGGGTAGTGTGTACGCAGACCTTACCTCTACCCCGATGGGGCAAAAACAAGTATTTTTATTCTCCAAAAACATTTTCTGGAAAAATAATTTACATACGCATTTATCTCCAAACAAAAGCTTTTCAAACCCAACTACAACACCAATAATGTGGGGTTTGGACGTGTCTGCATTTCATTCATTGATTTGGGGAAAAAGACACTCCTGGCTGCAAGTCTTACTCCCTTTGATTCATATTATCGTCTTCAACAATTTTACGCCATTTAAGAATGACATATAAAAAACTTAATTATAAGAGTATTTGTTTTGACCATCCAAACAAGCTGTAAATGTTTTACTTAATTAAAACTTGTTTATTGGAACAGTAAATCTAGAGGAGAAAAAAAGTAATAAATAATTTCTTGTATTTGTAAAACAAATGTTTTCGAACAAAAGTAATGCTCGCACGTATTGGAAAAACGAAAACGACCAACAGTGGCCACATATACCGATCCCCTTAATTGCTCAGTTTTCTTTTGAAAATGAAACACATTCAGAAAAGAACAGAATGTAGACATAGTCTAGCCTCACTTCATTTTATCAACTCTCCCCTTTCATGGAATAAGAAGAAAGGTAATATCAGCCGCAGTATAACTAATAGACACGTCTGGTTAAAACTTGAATATATATCTCAGTTAACAAGCAACAACCGCGATAGACAAACCTCAAGAAATGCCTTTGTTTCATTTAGACATGTACCAAGAGACTGTGTTCAGGGCAATAACAACTCCAACGCGCTACAAAAGCACCCATAAATCGCCAAAATAAAAGCATATTAAAGAAAGATTAATGGCCATGTTGATGAAAAAGTGGCATCGCGTGTCCCGTTGATTCCAGTGGCTGTTTCATAATCTTGATTTTTTGCTTGCATTTCACATAGAGGTAGTACCTGTATCTGCTAATATTTCTCCATCTTTCTTGAGACGATGATGCCTGACCAGTCCTTATTTTTGGTCACTTAAAAGGGGTTGAGATGCACAACCTGCAAAAATAAGCAATTTTCTTAGACTAGACCGATTCAAAATGTTGAAAGTTACAAGCAGAACTTACAATCATCAAGGAATAGAGAACAAGCTATACATTATACTTCAAAAGGAAAAATTAATACGTGGAAAAAAACTGTCAAAACAATGACTCCCTCCTCTTCGGCAAAATACAGAACTATCAATAGACAACCAGATAATAGCAACATCTTACGCAAAGTTGCAAGCAAATAAATGGCTCACAAAATAGCATGTTAGAATATGTCAGAAATTTTCATTTACACTAACATCACGTAGTGAATCAATTCCAAAACAAAAGCAATTTCCGAAGATTTAAGTGAACAGTTGACACTTCTAATTGTGAGGTCCCCTTATAACAAAGACTGCCAGATGATAGAACCATGTCCCAGCATATTTACTCTGTAAGTTTAAAACTCGTAAGAGTTTCTGGAGATTGCAACACTTGCCTGGAGGCTGTAACATTGTTTCAACTACAAATATTAACATCACAAGAACGCGAAGAAAAGGAACCTAACCCCTGTTGTTGTCAGTTCATCCTTCCTCTCCTATATCATAGGAAACTCAGTAGTAATAGCACAAAAGCAAGAAAGTACAGAGTAAGATGCATTCTTTAGTAGCCGTATGATTCATGACCCTTGATAAGAGGGTGTGGAGGGCGATGATTAGGATAGAAAGCTAATAGGCAGTTGCACGTCTTTCTTTACCTTCCAGTAGTAGTAGCGTTATTCTAGTATTCTCGTACTCTTAAAATTCTATTACTACCTGATGTTGCTTGTGTTTTGACTGTTCTACTTCCTTCTTGTTATTACTGCCTCCCTCACTTTTACACTACATGCTTGCTTGGGGCCGAGGGTCTACCGCAAACAGTCTCTCTACTTGCGCTAGGTAGGGGTAAGGCTGCATACACACTATCCTCCCCAGACCTCCACTTGTGGGATTATACTGGGTTTGTTGTTGTTGTTGTATGATTCATTTTGCAAGCTTAAATCACCTAAAAAGTTCTAAATAACAATTTCTTAAAACAAACGGCCGAAAGTTAAGGATTGAAACATATCTATGAGTGGTTTATAGGTGCTTCAAATTGCAAATATGTACAGAAACTAGAGAGGTAGAAGGGATTTAACCCTGATCGTAGGCATTACCAGGACGACGTTATGTGTCTGTATGAGTAACAAAATGATATGCAGATAGGATTAATAATTCATTGTCGTCATATAATTATTACACATGATGAAACGTGACAATTTCTGAAGTAAGATTCTCAAAACACAGAGCAAGGCGTAAAGCTACTCCAAATATATCTGTACTTACACAAGCAAGGAGACATATAAACCAGTAAGCTTTCACCATGTCCATGCATTGGTAATACATTAATTCCATCTTTCTTTTGGGCTTTTTTTTTTTTTTTTTTAAGTGTGTGTGGGGTGGGGGGGGGGGGTT